ATAAATTCCTCGAAAAGCCCCGTTAATCTTCGTTCGCGAAACTGGATCCCAACCGACCTTTTGTACAGAGATGATGTACCTTACGTGCTTTAAAGAGATCGTGAGGCGAAATGAGTTCGTCAAGAATTTATTGAAACTCCGCGCTACGTACACGGTGAAATGTTATCTAATTACTTGTGTCATCAGGAGAAGATTGATCATCCGACAGTTGAGATATTCGCTCCTAAAATAGATACTTTTATACGTCTTCCTTGAAGTTAGTATGCTATTTATATAACTTCTATTTCTATTTTTAATATCTTTTAAACTACATGCATGATTTTAATGAAAATTTACCATGATATTAAAGATTTAATATATGCAGCCAAAATAATATTTTTCATATCTTGTAATATTGTTATATTTGTAATATCTCAACTTTGTCTCAAATTAAGATCTATTATTTAGATCTTTAATTATCGAAATAAATATATAGAAATGTAACTTTTGTTCAATAAATAATACGTTTATGAGTGCTTTCTTTGATGCGCTACTGAAAATACTGAAAATACATTGAGCCTTATAATGTTCTTTAAAAATCTGGATGCAAAGTTTCGAAGAATATTCTAAGAAGTGCATTTATCGTTATTGCGATGACGCATATTCGCGAATTTACCTTCTATGTGCTGCGGAGTGCACGTAACGAAATTATTTATTCAAGGGGCTTTGCGTTGTGCATCGTGACTTCTTATGTGTAAGCGATTTTTTTTAAATAACATTTTTTAAACATTTTTTCAATAACAATAAGTATATAAATAATTGTAAATAAAAATAAGTCAAGTAAGCTGAGTCAAATATAGCAAAATAAACAAATAAATAAAATGAACCTATTTTCGATATAGGTTTCAATGTGTTTGTGAGAAAAATAGTATGTAAAATAAATAAAATATAAAATATACGCGAGAGGAAAATAAAAATATGTTAATATGTAGTAGTAAACACACACACACACACACACACACACACACACACAGACACAAATAAAGGTAAATAAAAATAAACCAAGTAAGCTGTGAATACACGACAAAATAAACAAATAAATAAAATATGAACAAAATATCGTATATAAAACACGTGAGTTTCAGCATGTTTGTAAGAAAAATGTTAAATGAAATAAATAAAATATGAAATATTTTATTATATTGACATATTTGATATAATTGATATCTTTCAATTATATTGAAAAATATAAAATATAAGAAAACTCAAGTAAAAGTAGGTCAATGTATGTAATAATAACAGTGAATAAAGTAAATTTGAATCAAGTAAAGGTAACTATTTTAAATTTAAATTAAGTTAAATTAAAATTTAATTAAAATTAAAATTTAAGTGTGTTAAGTAAAGGTAAATAAATCAAGTATGACAAAATAAAGAAATAAGTAAGATGAATAAAGTATCGACACGTGGAGGTTTTGGTATTTTCCGCCGACTTCTCACGGAGTCTCTCTCACGGAGGTTCTCACGCGTTAGGTTTAGCGAGTAACGTTAAAATGCCGGGATGAACCCCGAGCTTCGCCGTTAATAACACTCAACTCGTTTTAACATTTCACGCGCGATATTCCGTGATCACGACTGAAACTTTCGATCGCCGTGAGAATCCGTCTGGCTCCTAATAGGCGCGAGCGGAGAACGTGACCAACTTATGGCGACATCTTTAAGTGATATATTTGCGGCAGCCCCAAGGACTCGTGGATAAAACGGGCCTATCGCACCCGCGGCTCTTTGTTGTTCTTTCCAGATGACAAACAGTGGCGGATAGAGGACACGCATGTTGCATAAGCGCCATCGGAATTGCGTAATAAAATTCCACTGCTGAATCTCTTAAACGATTAAAGTTTGCCACACTTTTCCTCGACAAGTTTTGCAACGTTGTCCCGTGTCCAATTGAAAAAATATACTTCCTAGGAATCACTTGAAACTAATTTTCCTGTTAGATACAGCATGCGTTGGAAGCTCATTAAGAAAAAGTGCTGCAACATTTGAGTATCTGACTGTACGAAGTGAACAACACAAAAATCACGTCGAATCACGCCGTCGGAAATAATAGAATACAGTCGTGAGAAACGTCATATGTAGATATTTATTCCGATCTGCCGTTGAAATTTTCTTTTTTCCTTGTTTCAATGCGGATGAATCGAGGTCATCCCAGATATTTTAATCATTCCAATGCATGCGCGCTGATCGATCTGTGTGACCAGCAAAATCCGCTCATAAATTGAAATTTACTAGCAACTCGATAAATATTTTAAATGCATGACTCTCCGCGGTGTTATTGTTGCGTTATTTTCAGTCTCAATTCAAACGTGTTTCCTTAACTTCCGAGTTGCCAGAAATATCTTCAAGGGCATTTTCTCTTGCATGGGAAACAAATACACGCGTGTTTATGTTTATATAAAATGCAAAATACACTTATTGAAAGTACTAAAATACTAAAAATACTAAACCTAACGATTAAAAATTAAGCTGGCGATTAAAATTAAAATTAAGAAGCGATAAAATTAAATGGACAACCGTGAGATTAAACTTTGCTGATATATTTAATCCTAATCTGACATACTAGAGTTATTCATTGACTCTGATTTTGAATTAACTGCAAATCAGTGGAATGAAGACATTTCCCGCTCTTGTGTTAAAAAGGTTATAATTGGTAGGAGTAAGTCTATTGAACTCTTTTAATTGCGTGTCAAATAACAAAGAAGCGAGATTGCTACAGGCTTTTTAATTTTAATGTGTCAGATTAAGATATCAAAGTGTAAAATAAAGATACACAATAAAAATAAAAATGACTTTTCATTATATATATATTTCGGTTCTTCACATTAAATATAATATATTAGAAAAATTTTACGTAAAATCGTAAAATAAAGTTTTAATAAAATCCGCATTATATGTAATAGATTAATACACCACGCAAACTTGAAATTATTAATGATTTTATTTTCCTTTTAAGTGAAAAAATAATGTATTTTCGTATGCTCAAATAATTAAACCTTTTAATAAATTAAAATATATAACATTTTTCGATTTAAAGGCTCAAATATTGACAAAAAATCGTAGAGTGTTCTAATTAAACTCTTAAACTCATTTTTAGAAAAATTTTTTATATGTACATACTTCTCTTCATATTTGCAATAAAACATAATACTTAAGTGAATGTTTAATACCATTGCTGCGCATAATTCTATTTTATAGACTTGTGTGTGGAAGTATATTTATATGCAAAAAACAATGGGTGTTATCACAAGAAAAACGATAGCTTTTATTTCTAGCTTCAGTAACTGATTCTTTGTTACGTTAACTTATGCAACTTGATACATTAGCATAGCGATTCGTTGCCTGAAAAAAATGCATTTTTGAATAGGTCAGCGAATCGATAGGTCAGCGAATCGATAGGTCAGCGAATCAATAGGACAGCGTAACCAAGAATTAACTCTTAAAGCCAGAAAGAAAAGCTATGCTATATTTTACTATTTTTCTGGTTGACACAACTATTCTTTTTTTCCGTGTAAATTTTTGTAGATCTTTTCTATTAGCGCTTTTACGAAATGTAAATAAGCAAGGACGAAAACGACCCTAGTGTGCCAGATCACGATGTCCAAAACATGTGTGCTATGTGAGGGTTAATACTGAAAGAAACAGTTCGTGTGATTTTTTTTTTCGAAACTTTCTGTCGTAAGTTCTCGTCGAGATGAACGGTCAATCGAATCATTTTCTTCGTAGGTTCTCATTTATCCTCGCGGATAGAACCAGATTTGTCACGAAGCTCCGCGTGAGAATCGCATAGATCGCGTCCCCGCTTTTGTCGAACGATAAGCGCACACGCCGCGCAAGGTCGCGAAGGTTGCGTCAAGACGACCGCGGCACGCGAACCATCGTGTCGACGTCGAAGACCGGTCCCCAGGTACGCCTAACCCGCCAGGAATATCCACGTACACGCCCCCGCTGTGCCAGAATCGTAGGGACGCTATACCAATCTCGAGTGCACTGGCCAAGGCACGGACTCATCCGAGAAATATGGCCGTACATTATTATTAGATTATGTTTTCGGCACTGGAGTCGAACGAACGCGCGCGAGCTCTCGGCCATTCGTTTCGTACTCGCGGACTCGATTTCGCTTCACCGGCGTTTCCTCCTCATGATGGCACGGCCAGAGATGTTACAGCCGATACAGTCGAGCTAGAGATACGAGGAGATAAGAGTGATCAGCTTCTTTGTATCTCAGGAGGAACGAAACCCGTCCGACTCGGGCAAGAAACGGAGTCAAAATTCTTTGGCGCGTGTTCACGCAGCACATTTAGCGCGAAATGTGGCCGTCTCATGCCGAGATTTATTCGTTTAATGAGAAGATTATCTCTGTCCCTGCCTCCCTCTCTTCCTCCCCCCCCTCTCTCTCTCTCTCTCTCTTTCTCTCTCGCATATATCGAGAATTAGTCACAAATGTGACCAAAAGACCCAAATAAAATCTCCTCTTTCGTGGAACGCGAGTTATAAAGATGTTCAATAAATAAACAATAATCATACGCGTGGACTTCCTTAACTGCTATCGGGAACGATCAAAGGTGTTTACTATCGAAGTCTCACGAGGTCAGCGTATCTTCATCAAAAGCTCAAAATAGGAACTCCATTGCGGATTTAGAGCGCGTACGACGGCCTCTTGGTCGCGTCCGATTGGAATCCTAATGAAACGCGACGATCTCGCGTGATTCTTAACGGACGTGAGGAAGAAGAAGAGGGCAAGAGCAAGAGCGTCCAAGTACTCCGGAGAAATCGCTCGTCGGGTTAATCAAGGCGAGTGCATGCATCAAACGTCTCGATAACGAATGCGAGCCGCACGAACCGCGCGGACGTTACTTTACGAGCCTCCCTCGCCACCTTATCTCCGCGGTATCGCGAAAAACGGGCGAAACGTAGCCGAGCATTGTAGCCGGCAATTTATATCGAAGCGAGATAATCTGACTCACGTTTCGATGCGCCGGTGCGCGAGCCACCCTCTCCGAGGATCCTCTCAGCAGCTCCGCGAGCAGCTCGGGACTCGGCCCCGGAAGTCCCTCGAGTTTCGTCGGGCTGGAGGTCGTCCGATGGTGGCAGGGCGTGGGCGGCTCGGAGCCGCTGTTGTTGCTGCTCGCGTTGTACGAGAGATTCGCGGAGATCTTCCTGCGAGGGCGAAGGCCTTCCTCGAGCGCGATGTCGGTGGTGCGCGGCTTCGCCATCTCGGCCTCCAGCATCTGCCCGTAGGGTCCGCGCAGAGGTCTCTTGCTGTACCTTAACAGTGAAACCAAAGAATCATGTTGACTCGACGGTAAATAATCACAAAATTAATGATACACAAATCACGAGCTGAAATCGGTCTAATTTATCGGGCAAGAGGAGAACGCACCGGATATGGTTGTCACACTTTTTACATATTGATTAAAAAAAATTATGAAATATTTTTGAATATTGTGCACATTTTTGTATAGGGGAGACCGGAGCCATATAGTCCTAGAAGCATTGTTCATGTGCTATTTTTTAGTATTTATCCTAAGAGAAAAAGTGGGCATAAAATCGCGAAATAGTCCTTTGAGAACATAAATACCTGATTTTCATTAAAATCGGAATAATATTGCAATTAAGAAATAGAAAAAAACTGATTTGGTAATAGCAAAGTAAATTTTCGAGCTTCTCTCGAAATGTTTTATTAATATTCTCCATTGTGATTAAATAAAATTAAGAGATGTATTACTAACTAAAATAAAATTTCTTGCAAGTATATGATATATTATTTCTAGTAATAAATACAATTTTCATTCATAAAATGATTGGAATAAAGTTTGGGTGGGCGATTGAAATAAAGTTGGTCCATAATTAAGAGCCGGCAGAAGGGCTGTGAAAATCTCTCGCAGAGACTCTGGAACCATTAATCAGGATACATATTTTATACGTGACCTTTTTTTACTCTGCGCTACTGAACCCGGTACCAAAGCAAGATGGTTATGTTGCTGCATGTTCGTATTTTGATTATTACGAAACAAAATATACGTTTAACAGGGTTGTGGCGGGCATTAATATATAGAAGAAGGTTGCCTCTATCATTGCCTTGTCAGTCACAACAATTAGTTGCCTGAGAAGTTGTAACTTCAAAATTCTAAAATACAGGGCATCTAACTTCGATCTCCCCTAGATATAATTTTTAGGTAAAAGACACGGTCTCCTCTACATTTTGTTTGAAATTAATCAGTCACTATCGGCGAAGAAACTATCTCATTAACAAGTCAACGCGTTTAGTAAATCAAAGGCTCTTAACTTAATGTAGAATATTTTAGAAGTAAATATATCATTTTCGGGCTTAAGAGGTATGCTCGGAAAAGTTTCATGGTAGAACTTCTTTTGATTTAAACATTGAAACTTCTTTTGATTTATTTATACTATTATATCTTTGTTAACTCATAGCAAATATTATATATAAATATAAATATAATATATAAACTAGATATATTTTATATTTTATTTAAAATTCTTTAAAAAAAATGGCAATAAAGAGTAAATAAATGTAGATATGCTTATTAAAAAAAAAGAAAACTTTCTCTGGGGGAAATTGTGCAATTATTTTAAAACATGAAGAGGTTATTAAAGAAGTCAATGCAGAGTATTTTAAAGTAAGAATGCCACTTTGGGGCGGAGAGAGGTGTAAAGGTCTGAATATAGGAGAAATGATTCTTAGAGTTTAAGACATTGAGACACGTACAGTTAATAATAAAAATTCGCATAAAGAAATTGAATTAAGAGTCAATAGAGTTAATGTGATAATCACTTCGCCGGAGATATTATTATAAGAAAGGGTTCAGGTGAAGAAGAAGCGCATTGAAGCCACGCGACTCCGTATCAAACGCACTTCCGTTCTATTTCGACGGGTAGGTTCTCCGGTTACCTTCGAGGCGTGTGGCCCTCGCAGTCGGACAGGTCGCTGGGCGTCGCAGGTGGCTCGTCTCTTTCCTCGCTGCTCTGAGCCGACAGCTTGTTTCTGTCCGCGTCCAAGGGCTCCGGCCATTGAGTTATGTACACGCCCTTCCTCCTCTTGCTAGTGTCGCCCCGGTATCGTCTCGATTTGCCGGAAGGCGAGGACGCCTCCGAAGGTGTCTCGCTCAGCGCCTCGCTGCCCTCGCTCGCTTGACTCAAGCGTGGCTCCTCCGGGGGTGGCGTGATGATCACCTCGTGCGGCTCTATCCTGGTCTCTAAAAAGCATTTTCGCGCTCTCATCGTTTTCTTACCCGTGCCTCGTTTGTCTTAATGTTATATTTAAGGCAGTTGCATCACATGAGAGGCGAGTTTCGTGAGAATTTGGTGAAACTTGCACTACATATGCAATGAAATATTATCCAACTGCTCGCGCAATTAGAGAAAGATAGACCATTCGAGAACTGAGATATTTGCAATCAAAGTTGACATTCTTTATACGAGTTCCTTGAGACTAGCGTGCTATTTTCAGTTTCTATTTTTAGTATCTTCTGAACAACATGTAAGATCTTGACGAGAAATACTATGATATCAATAGCTAATATACAGATGTTATACAAAAATTTTAGAATCATTGATCATTTTGTTTCCAAAATATAATAATGAAAAGTCCGTAATTTATAGTAATACACGAAATACATACACAAATACATATATTTAAATATTTCTTTTTTATCTATACATTTCTAATGCATAAATTGATGCATAAATAAAGCACTTATCAGAAAATAAAAAAGAATATTATTGTTTTTGTAATCATGTATATATATATATATATCTCTCTTTCTCAATTTCATTTCAAATTATCAGTGATATTAGATAGTAAAATTATAGTACAAAAACGTAATTTTCTTTGATAAATAGTAAATTTATGAGTGGCTCTATTGATACGCGCCACTGAAAATACAGCATCTAGCGACATAACTATCTCAATGAATTGAAATGAACAAAAGATAGTTTGTTGGATGTTGCAGAATGATTTCGTCCTCCCGAAAATATAATTGTTTCAAGGCGGACGTGTTTTCATGGACGCGCATTTCCCGGCTCCTGTCAAGAGACCGACAACTTGTCAGTCACAATTTGGCTCCAAAATTTAATATTATATCTATATAATATTATATCTATATAATTTGTAATCTTTCTCTTTCATTTGCCCTGCGAAACTTCAAACTAAAGTCGCAGATCCACCTCAACGTTTTGCATTATTTGTGCTGTTTTGTCACTACAAAATAATTTCAAGTTTGCGCAATATTTTTCCGAAGTCTCGAGAGAGTCGAAAGAGACCGCATTAATGGTAATGGTAATTTGATTCCAAACTCGCTCTCTCCAGAGAGTGTCTCGTCCACTGGATTCGGATTGGCTCGAATGAGATGGATTCACGCGAATTTATCGACGCGGGTCCGATCGAACTCAGAACGGAGAACCGAGTTTATTAACGCGGAATCGAATCAAATAGACGCCCATGTACTTCTCGATGTTGGACGATGGACGAGGAACGATGCGAGGGTTGGCGTGAGAGAGAAAAAGCGCGCGCGCGAGAGAGAGAGAGAGAGAGAGAGAAAAAGAGAAAGAGAGAGGGAAAGAGAGAGACGGGGGGGAGGGAGAGACAGAGAAAGAGAATGAGAGGGAGAGGGAGGAAGCGGGAGGACTATTTTCGGTGCATCGACAGGAGCGCGCACGGGTACAAAGGTGCACGCAAGTTCCATGTTATTTTGCGCGCCACTATTTTCAGAACGGTGGGTGCCAGGGTGGAAATATATACACATATATATAGACGTTTGAGCGTCATTGAGTTATAGCCATCTTCATTGATGACTTCACGCGTTGCCGCTCTCTCACGCGGCTGGAGGGCCGCCGCTATTCACAATAAATGATGAACCGACGCGCATTTCTCAAGCGATGACGACAATCGCACACCGCCGAGAGCACACACCGTTTTCTTCGCCTTCTTCGTTGCCCCGGCCGTTGTTTCCATCTCGCGATGAGCAACGCCGCGCGAAATTCGAGCAAACAGATCTTGCCCGCTCGCGCGCACGCGGACTCCCACGCGAGTGTATTTCCGTTTTATATCCTGCCGGGATACCTTTCGCACAATCGATCCACTACTACGGGTCGAGCGGAAACTTTGCTCTCTAACTGCTTCAGGATTCCGCACCGCCGCACGGCCGCAGCTGTTTTTTTTTTCTGCGAGATTACGCTCCTAAGAGCTATCATGTCACGTGTGTGTGTGTGTGTGTGTGTGTGTGTGTGTGTGTGTATGTCACGTGATTCTTTTTATTAGAACGAGTCCGCCGTGAAACAATAGAAATCGATGTCACGTAATACAATGAATAAAATTACGATAAGATTTAAGGAAGTTGTAAGGCAAAGTGAATTTGTTAAGAATTCATTGAGACCTGCGTTACATATAAATTAAAATGTTACGCCTAACTGCTCATGCAATTAGAAAAAGATTGACAATTCGAGAGCTGAAATATTTGTTAAAGTTGACATTTTTTATACGTGTGTACCTTGGAATTGGTATAGTATTCTTAACTTCTATTTCTAATTTCTTAAAATCTCTCTCTCTCTCTCTCTCTCTCTCTCTCTCTCCTTCTCTTTAAAATTAAGATTTTAATGAAAAACGTCTATGATATTAAATACTAATATACTGACATTGTATATAAGTTTCAGAATTGTTGACCGTTTTGTTTACAAAATTCACACAGTGATAGAAAGAGACTTCATAATTTATATTAATACTCGAAATACATACGCATATTTCAGCACTTATACACCTCTTTCTATTATCTGCGCCTTTGGTATTTATAATATTGTATATATATAGGGTATCCCAAACAACCGCCAAATATAAATAACAGAAGTTAAACAAGAATAGTAGAAATTAAACCAAAACGAAAAGTCCTTTGCCATTTTTTAACACGAGCAATAGTTAACGAGTTATTAAGTAATTAAGTTTGATTCTTAACGCGCCTTGATTGGCGAATAGTAGTACACACCGAAAAAATGCGAATTTTCGCTTGTTAGGTTAACTTCGATATTCTGATTAGCGAGCTGCTCTGCCCACTAATCAGAATAGCAAAGTTGGTTTAAGAGACAGGAATTCACATTTTTTTCAGTGCGCGGCAAAATTTGCATTCCGCTAACTAGAGCGAGCTAAACGTGAAACTTAATTAATTAATAAATCGTTAATTATTGCTTGTATTAAAAAGTGACAAAGGACTTTTCGTCTCGGTCTGACTTCTACTATCTGCTGTTTTATATTTGGCGATTGATGTGGAATACACCTTATGTATTTAACTTTGTCTCAAATTAACATTTATTAGACAACAAAATGAATGCATGAAAATGCATGAAAATGCATGAAAATGCATGAAAATGCATGGAAACATAATTTTGCACGACAAACGACGTTTCACTGGAAATACAACACTGATCTTGCAACCTCTTTAACAAAGTTAAGGAGAAATGAGGGGGTGAGTCAAGAGAGAAAAGATGTAATAATGAAATAAATTAAATCTGAATTACTCAATGCAGCGTCAAAAGAACTGAGCGCGCAGTCATCGACTCGAGAAGGATCACATTCTTGTTGCAAATAACGAAAATGAAATAAAGATCTCGTAAAAGCGGCGGGAAAACACATTCCACCCACGACTACTCGAATTGAAAGTGCTTGCAGTTCTAGTGGAGAAAATGGCGTGGGAGATCTAACCTTTCTGGACAGTCTCCTCGACAGTGTTGCTCTCGACCAAAGGGTAGACCGATTCGTGGCTGACCACTTCGACGACCGGCGCGTCCGACTGCACCAGGTCGACCCTGGGCTCGTTCGTCTCCGGCACCAGCGGTTCCGGGCTGGTGAGTGCGCTGGAAGTCGCCAGGCTGTCGGAGCCATCGCTCCTGGGTCGAATCTCCTCGAGATTGCCCTGCTGAGGTACGCCAAGACCCTCGGCCGAGCCGACGGCGCTGTCGACGCTGGGCGTCGACGTCCTCGGGCTCTGTCGATTGGGACTGTTGTGCGGTGTCGTGCCGCCTGGCGTCGCGTCCCCGCGACGACGGGGCAACGTGCTCGCACGCACGTCTTTGGACTCGGTGCGATTGGATGTCGCGATCGGCTGGCTCTTCTGTCGATTCGCTGGAAGAGGAAAGTGCGAATTCGCGCTGAAAGTAAAATCTGCATCTTGCAGAGATTCATCAGCGGTTAGTGAGATTGTACTTTTCTGTTCTAAAATTATTCTAAGGTCTTCTTCCGATCGACAGTTCTCGGAGTCACGTGTACTCAGAAGCAATATATTAATATTGACATGAAAGTAATTACAGCTGCCATTAGCCGTTAGAGTAATAAATAATTAGCGTATCTCTTTCTCGTTAATTCCTACGAAGCTCTTAACATTTGGAAACACGATATATGAGGTCAGTTAAAAAGTTTGGTTTTCTGCTTCCTTCGACGATAATTCTTGAGTCAAATTTGACATAAAAATCGAATCCAACTTTTAGATTGATTTAATATCATACAAAGATAAATAATACGTCAAAGAATAAAAAAATGTATAAAAAAAATGTCTAAACTTGTATATAACGAGATTGCGAATATCGCAAAATAATATGAGACTTTTATGTTCACTTTAATTCATACTATGTCTTCACGAGAGCTTTGAAAGTTGTTCTGTACACAATATCACACTTTGTATACAATATCATTTTATATTATGACGACTTTTAATAGTTAAGCTTTTATATTCAATTAAAAATATAATGCCGAGGGCAACATAAATTGTTTTCAGCAGAAACTATATAAACTAAAATATTGTAGGAGCAAATAACGAAATATAAGGCAGACAGTCAGCATTTTCCTGGCTGGGGCGTGTTAAACATAATCACTGCTGATTGCGACATCATGGAAAGATTGATTTCCATGCAAATTCGAGTGGTTCCCGTAGACATCCCCAACTGACGTATTCCAGAGGCGTATTACGCGCGCGCAACCGTTTTTAATAATAACTCGAGTACTCTTGCACCGAGAGTGCAACAGTGAGGCCGTCTTGCGGTCGCGAGGGAAGACTAGACGTACGGCGGGATGAGAGAGAAGCGGAGGAAGTCCTAATTACCTCCTCGAGTGTCACGTAAGTTTGGCAGCGCTCTTAGGCCGAGGAGGTGGACCATTCCAATAATAACAAACAGACCGTGCGAGACGAGTGGAGATCTCGAAGACGCGAAACAGCGCGCACCTCGTTGGCGAAGTTCCGGAGAACGTGCTGTGACCGATTAAGATGTACGACAAAACTACTTTTCGCGCAATTAAACAGCAATAATAAAGACAGAGAAAGAGAGAAAGAGAGAGAGAGAGAGAGAGAGAGAGAGAGACAATTTCTAAATTTTATTTTTAATGTTTTTGGTGCCGCGCGACGAGAAATTTTACTTGAATTAATTATAGCGCTTCCTTTCCACACACAAGCATTTTTGTCTATTTACAGAGTGGAAATATGAACTGGTTAAAATCATACTCATTTTAATTACTGAATCAGATCGTAATGTTACGTTTCTTACGTAGAAAATGGAAAATATTTCTTTCTCATATTTCTCTCTCTCTCTCTCTCTCTCTCCCTTTCTCTCTCTCTTTCTCTCTCTCGATTTTCTCTCAACAACTAGTAAACTGCATAAATTCAGTAGAGCTTCAATCATTCGACGGTTTATGCAACTTCTTGGTCGAGACGACCAATGACGAATTTCAAAATAATTTGGACCACAAAAAGCTGTGGAAATCTGAATATCGCGTGATACATGCCGTTAAATATTCGATAAAATTTATTTAATCTCTGCACATGATAAACACAGCCGTCAGGTAAATGGATTTGGCTTCCAATCTCGGTCGCGGGAAGAAGTGACTTGGGCGAGCGCGGAAATCCTGGCGACGATATTTCAGGAGCACCTGGTTATCCGTTCCCGCATTTCGGGCGTAAAAGGTGTCTCGAAAGATTTGTTGCCGTGGAAGCGTGAAGTGCTTCCGGCTTGCCAACGAGGCATCGCTTTTTCGCGCTTTCGATGTCGTCACGGGGAGAATACTATCATCTTTTATATCTCGTTATAAGACTAATAATATTTTACTAGCGAAAATGTTATTCCTTCTAGCGAAAATATTATTTCTTCTAGCGAAAATATTCTCACAATATACCTCTTATCGCAAAATCCCTTGGCACTGTTGAAGGTAAAATCTTCTAGTGATTCAAACATACGTATTTTTCGAATAATACATTATTGACAAGCTCATGTGAGTGCTGTTTGTTTCAGTTTTCTTTATTTTGTCAAAACAAAAAGTCTGATGAAGTCCCTAATTATTGCAAACATACGAGTTTTTCCTTTATCAGACGAGTGCATTTTTACGGTGCGGTCTTAGCAATGCGCATATAGGCCAAGGGCGCCAGATGCTTTATTACTGGAACTGTCATTAGAAATACGAAGCTCGTTGAAAGATGCACTTAACACCTTTCTTATTTCTAGTCTCCCATTATGCAACTGAAACTACTGCGGTATGTAGTTCAGGGTTGAAATCTAACGCGAGGCTGTCACCGTTACGTTATTTTAGTTCCGGGTTTGCCATGTTTTATGAAGAGCCACGTGGAACGTTCTGTTCAGGAGGGGACATCTCAGAAATCATAAATATATCACCTACGTTAATATAGCCACTGTGCTGATCCAACATGATCGTATTTCAGCATTAAAAGATACGACAAAGCTATAATCGCGTTCTCCTAATTTCCTACGCTCGGGTTTAAATTTAACGGAACAATGATTCACACGGAAAACATATTATCCGCGATATCATAAATAAATTCTGGCAAAACATAAAATAAGTATTAAATTTCTAAATAAACGCGTAATTGAATAAAACAATTTTTAAACAAAATTTATTCTGCGTTTTATTATAAAAAAAATATATATATATATACTCAGGATAAGCAACACAATTTAATTATAACTCCATTATTAAGTTATTTCCGTTTTTATCAAATAAATGAAAATGTTTTTTTAATATTTTGGTTCAGAGAGAGAGAAGGGCCTACAAATTGATGTGCTTTTTTTCTTGCAAGTCTGTTTTTCGGAATTTTTAAGATCACTTTAAGCAACTTTAATGGAATCACATGGTTTTTCTAGTATAAATCAATTTTTTTAATCATACAAAAATACAGAGACTAAACATTTCAATAAAAGATATGAATTATCTCGTCGAATATTCATTTTTCGATAATCTCACTTTAATATTTTTGTACGTAGAACGACGGATGAAATTGATTTGTTATAAAAAAGCATGTAAACTTTAAACAAAATTTTTTTGCATTTTGCAGATTCGTTGATGCATCAATGTGCAAAAATTAATATCATAGAACGATTTCTCTCATCATTTCATATACAAAAGTATTGAGATGAGATTGTCGAAAATCAGTTTTAATATCTCGTACTGAAAGGTACTAAAATAAAATAGAAAATATTTCGGAAAGTATTCATTTTTCAATAATTTTACTTCAGTACTTTTGTACATAGAATGTGATTAGAGGAATTGATTATTGTTAGGAAAACCACCTGATTCTATTTGAAAAATTTTAAGTGACCTTGAAATGTTCTATATACCTCCACTTACTTTAAAAAATAGTTATCACTACATTATATCTCCTTCGAACTTATAAAAATCTTTGTACTATTTCCCTATTGAGGAAATAGCATTTAAGATGGACAAAGCTGTTGCCCCGCCCTGTAAGAGGATAAAGGAGATAAAATATATTTTCAATAAATATGAAATAAAATACTCAATTTTATGATTCACGCTTCTGTTATATGATTATCCTAAAAATTATATCCTGACATCGAAATTTATCCACGTCTAGAAAGACAGCCATTTACGATGACAAAGAACAAACTGAGAATCTACAAGAAATGTTCTAAAAGTCGATTTATTATGCCCGAGCGTATGTGCCTAATTCCCTTCCGCTTAGTTCGACGATGAAGTGAAATCTTACCGTAAGCGCAATCTACACATCGATCTCGCGCCGTAATGGGCTTAATTAGACTGGACTCTCTCTCTCGCTCACTGTCTGTCTCTGCGAGAGATCCTCCTAACAAGCGCAGCCAGCCATCGTGACACGCGGAAGCTTACCTTGATTAAAGTCCACTTGGCCGAAGGAGGCGCTCCTGAAGGGCGCGCCGGTCCTGTGAAAGGCGAGCAACCCACGCGGCTCCAGCCTGGTGATGGCGTCCCGGGCCTCCCCCTCGTTGCCGCCGCCGGAAGCGACGTTCAGGTTATCGCACAGATCGTCCACACTCGTAGCACTGTCCACCACGGAATCACTATACTGTCTCAAGTGCTTCGCCGCCTCCGCACTGGCGTTCGGCTCGCTCCTGAGGTCACTGACGTCACCACTGTTTCTCTCAGGTCTGCCCGATCTCGAGGACTTCCTCGAGTCGTGGCAGGGCTTCCTGCTGTACGCGTTGTTGTTCCCCGACCGATCACTGAGACACTCTTCACTGACACTCTCACTGCGGACAATTGTCTTCGGATATTCATGTTGTTGCTGCTGCTGCTGCTGCTGCTGTTGTTGCTGAGATTGCTGATTGTTACCGCCATGTTGGGTACCTTCGCTGTACGTATAGCTGCGATGAGACGGGCGACCGTCGCAACGACCACAGCCGGAACCCGTCTGAAAGAATCGAGAAAAGACCGTCATGCAGTAGCTGTGATGCATCCCATGACATCGATTCGAATCTCCCTACTACAAACGCGTCGTATTCGGAGATTTACACAACTCCCACTTCGTTAGTGGGTGAATTTTAAACGAGTATTTAACTTTATGTGGGCAGCGAGTTAAAGTATAGTTTAATTTGCTCGCTGTACTGTTATTTATGTACACAGCAGAAATGAAAGGTCACAGGAATTTGCGTAACACGCTGTCACGTTTGTCAGTTCCCGTTGTAACGTAATAATGGTATCGCTGACGTCATACCAAGGGAAATTGATTGGGTGTAGCGGCACGAAGGAGACACGCGATATGCGACACATTACGATAGATCAGGGTAACAAACATTACTCGGCTCTTATATCCAGGATGTCTGACGCTACGCGTCTCATACTTCGTGTATATACATGTAGATTAGATCAATACAAACTTCCTCCATAATTTTGCAAGCAGTCACGTTCGATTTTCAGTTATTTATTCGAGAGGATTGGTCACGCGCGATACGGCAGATGAGTCCCTCGTGATAGGGACATGACGTCGTCGTGTGCTTCTAAAGTAGAGACCAAACTGAACAAAAAAGTCCTCTATCACTTTATAAACAACCACATAAATTTCTGAATTATTAATTAAACAAAATCGAGAAAAAAATGATAGAGGACATTTTGTTCACTTTAACGGAATCTACATATATACGAGATATGGGATTAAAGATGTATAATTACTGTCAGATTCAAAATGACGATTACTTACGATAAAATTACGTTAAGATAATAATTTATTGGTAATTTTGGCAAAATTCGTTGTTTTTGATAGCTTCATACACAAATATTCACGTTTTCTACATTAATAAAATGAAACAATATTCTTCTTATATTCTCATCAAATATACATCTCATAATCTCTGAAATGTCTCCCAGATGAAAGAAAGGAAACTATTTATAATTTTTCGAGAGTATAAAAATTTTCATGCCTTAAAATACTACTAAAAATGGTAGGCTTATTCATTGACAGAAAATAAAAAAGTATAAAAATGTTTTTAAATTAAATATTCTAAAGACTCTCTGATATATCCAATATAAAATAAAAAGAAAAATAAAGTCAATAAGAGTCGAACGTTGTTGGCGAAATTATATTATACAATTATATATTATAGTCTAATCACTAAAATAACGAGGTAATAAATGAAAATGCTGTAAGCCTGTAAGATGGTATGTAAAATATAGATTGAAACTGTTTTCGTGGTATCAATGATATAGAGATTAAAAGTTTAAAATGTTTTTTTAAATTAAATTATTTTTTTTGGTTACTATGTAGCTAGTTTACTAATTACTATATGCTATATATATAGTATATTAATATACAGTATTAAACTGTATATTACTATACAGTATATCACATAGAAAATATAAGTTAAATAAAATATTTTACTCATTCTGAAGGCTAAATTTTTTTTTGAGCTTTATACTACAATTTTTTTTCTTTGTAATTTTCTTTTAAATTATCATTTTACTAGCTTTCCGAAATTACCGAGTAATTTATCATAGTAATTTACCGTCAGTAAATTACCGTCAGACTGGAGGTTATTTTTATCTATAGGTTTAAACTACCACAATATTCGCAACTGAAGCTTTAGAAAGCTTAACGTGTTACGATCTTGTTCTTGATCTTGATCTTGCTCTTCTACACTTTATATCCGCGGAAATAAAAGTTCAGTGAATTAACCTGGCTATAAACGAATTGAACGCGTTTTCGTTGAAGGTAATAGAATTTCCGGCTCTCAAAATCGAATATTGTTCACGAGAAGCAGAAATTGAATTTTTTTCGACGAAAATACACCCAGCTCGTTTTTCATCACGTGAATTCGATTGAACTCTTTTTCTCCGAATAAGTTACCGTCATAGACTGGGTTATTTTCATCTCTATATGAGCCACTTAGCGTTAGATATTCGTATATACGTAGATTATATAGCTGCAATGATTGTTACGAATACTGTGGAATGCAGCGCGTTCAACGAATTCTTGTGACAAAGGCGAGTTCTCGCGAATTGTGGAGATCATAAAAATTCTTTTCAGAATGAATGACAAGATGGAATATTTCTTTTGACGAAATGAAAACTGAATGCGTCGAATTAATTCCTAAGTGCTCCAGCAATCGCGATGTATCCTTATGTGAAATTCTCGTGTGTAGTATTTCAAACATTATTATGCGTGTTGTGATAAGATTTCTAGATACTCTGGATACATGGTTCGAGGAATATTTGTTATTCTAATTTACCGTAATGTCACATATCGTGTGTCTCCTTCTACTCTTCACTACTACTCTCAATCAATTTCCCTTGGCATGACATTAGCAATACTATTATTACGTTACAATAGCAACTAACAAATGTGACATAAAATAACGATTAAACTAATCCGAGATTTATTAACCTTGGACTATTTTCCTTGATTATTCGCTGTCAGAAAATGAGAAAGTATAAAAATGTTTCTCGTTTCAAATTAAATATTCTAAGGGCTCTCTGATATGTCTAATCTAAAATAAAAAAAAAAAAAGAAAAACAGTCAACAAAAGCTAGACGTTGTTGGCGCAATTGTATTATACAATATTATGAACTGTACGTAGATATAAAAAATAGAAACTTCAAACGTTTCAATCGCGCTTGCGACTCTTTTCGGTGATTTACGTATAAAATATTATTTACAGATTCTCATTTTCCCTTCGCTTCCCGCATAACTGTACCATTAGACCCAAGAATATGAGTTAGTCTTTAAGCTCCTTTAATAAAAGAAAGGCTATAGCCTTTGCAATTATAGTATAGAATACGACAGAGAGATTGCTGATCACGTTACGTTTTATCCTTCTTCGTGATTAAGGAAAATTTGAAAGAATGCATTGACGCGAAGATGCAAATGAACGGCTAGTTAATTATGTAATTTCTCTCTTCGTGTGCTCATTGTCTCATGATGAAACAATAATAGCATAATGTTAGTCCACCAAATCGCGCAAAATATTCGTCTCCTGGGCAAAGACGAGAGCACGAGAAACAGCGTAGAAAAGAATTCAGTAACGCGAGACACCGGCGGTCCGCGCGAAGCCGAAGACGTCGGCTTCTCGTCACCATGACGTTGGAATTCCTCACCTGCGGATAATTTTGAGACGACGGCTGGTATCCGCTCGGAGGAGGGGAGAAAGCCTGTACTCGCGACGGTCTTCTGGGTGGCGGGACCGGTGCCGGTCCCTTGAGCTTCTCGGTGAGTTCGCGAAGGCGCTCGGCCTTCTCGCTGCGGGGGCCGGAAGAGGACTTCTTGCCACTTCCTCCTCCGCCCCCGCTCCACCGAAACCTGTGCAGTCGGTCCACCGCTATCACTGCTGGTTCCTGTGGCCGGACAAGGGAAAACAAATAAATCTCGCGCGGCTAGCAACGGCTCTCAGCTATGCGAAACAATCCCCCTTCTCGTTTTTCATTATTCACGATTATTCGTCTTTAACCCTTTATGGCCCAGTCTACATAATTGGGTTGATCCATAAGGTCCATAAGTGATGCGAATTTTTAAGCAAAACTGCATTTTATTTTCGTCAAAAACAATTTTAATCAATAATATGCAGACCATTCTGTTCTCTTTTGCCGTCTTTGACGTAATTTCATAATTCACCTCTCGTAAAACTCCTGTGCTTTCCCGGCGAAGAAACATTCCCAGTGATTTTTCACCTCTTTTAAAGAAGCAAAGTTTGTACAGTTAAGGGAGTTCTGTAATGAGTGAAACAGATGATAATCAGAGGGAGTAATGTCAGGTGAGGCAAAACATCCCATCCAAGCTATAATTTTCATGGAAGTAAAAGAGTAGAAACTTACTGTCTTCCATTTTCATGATAGCTGTATTTCATTAAACACTATTACTTATACCACAAAATATACTCTAAAATGTCAGCTAGAGAAATTATCCGACAAAAAATTAACAAACTGATATTTCCGATTAAAATACTGATAAATTTTTATATCCAATCAAGATATTCAATTAAATTTAATCCTATCATAATGATATTTCATCAGATAAACTGATAAAAAAATTATGAACTGATATTTCTCATCAAATGTTTCCTGATCAGATACAAAAATTTATCGGTATTTTGATTGGAAATATCCATTTGTTAATATTTTATCGTATAATTTCTTTCAATATATCAAAGCATATATGTAGATGGCCAATTGTATGGAACTTAATGCCAACATGCGAATGCCAACTAGACAAAAATCCGTACAAACTTATGGATCAACTCAATACATCTACCTTAGATCCTCACTAATTTTATATTGAGAAAGTGAGTAATGGTTCTATTAATACAATATTTAATTAAATTACTATCGATCTATCTCAAATAGAGCTATATTCTTCTTTCTAACCCGTGAAACTTGTGATTTTGCCGCATGAAGAAATCAATATATTGATCATGTGCAGGGCAGAATTGTTAACGCTTGGAGTTGTGTAAAGTATTTCGTGAAAAAAATAAGCAAATATATTATACTTTTCCAATTTATCCGGACCACAAAACTCTTCGTCGGGAGCGTCTTTTAAGACTATTTTATGGAGGAAAATAATTTTACTCAAATGGGATCGATATTTAGATCTTTAAGGGTTAATAATTTGAAATAACATCGACGTAACTTAATCAGGCGATTAGATTTGTCCATTGGCTTTTCGAATCAGTCACATAATTGAACATAATTAAATATAAGAGCATACTATGAGACATTTGTCTTCTATTGTATTATTTTGTGATTATAAGTTCTGTGGATAAATGAAGATGACTTTTCCTCAACGAAAATATTGGGCGACCATCTTTTACCATTGTTGATTTTTAGCATTGTGTATCTTGGCGACTACAAATCTCAAATTTAAATTTTATCGAAATAAATTTAATTTCTTTTTCTTTTTTAAATTAGAGCTGGGAAACATAGTTTTGATATCCATTTCTTATTCCCTAAAGTCTAGTTCATAAAAAACCATTCTGTTTCATTCGCTTTCAGTTCCAAACTGTTTTCAGTGTCTCGAAATTTTGCTAGGAAAAATTCGCCTCAAAATTGACAGAATCTATCATTAATAAATAACACTCAAAAAACAATCTTGCCATAAAAATTATCTACATACGAAAAATTAGTTGAAATGAATAAATGCTTGGCAAACACTGTGATATCTTTTGTATTTAATCAATATAAATAACAAAGACAGAATTTCTACTGGAACTATTTGTGAAATTTAGCAAGAAAGTCTCTCTGTAGCGCCTATGCAGATTAAAATCAGTCACACTTCATAACAATTGACTGTAGTAGACAAAAAAACTGGTGATAAAAGACAAACAAATATATAATTCTCACTCTCGTCTAAATTTTTTTGCATATATTGCTAGAATGTCACTGCTACTGCAAATTCTACGCAACACAAACAATCTTCTAGATACAAAGAACAACAATAAATGTTATAACTGTAATAGAATTCTACTTGGATCAGCAAAATATTATTTTGAGTAAACGCTACGGAAATTGGTCATCTGTATATTGTAAATGTCATTCCAATTTTTGAAAATATATCATCATATAAATAGGAGGCAATATATCAGGGTTGAACAATAGAACTTCAGAACTAAGTCGCGTTCGTCGAGACGGAGGAAAAGCGGACACTGTCGCAAATTTTCAAAGAGCGTCCTAGCGTTCGCGACATGTTTATAGGCGTTTTTCGTTCGACTATTCGAAATCGTCGCACGATTTTCACGCGAGAAGAACTACCACGGAAGAGACGCGTGTTTCGCGAACGAATACGCTTCTGACAAGTGCGAAAGCGTGGGTCCAGCTTGTGTAATGTGTCGGGATAATAGCGACATGCGATCGCGAGGACGTGGCGTGGAGGTGGCGGGCTTAGGGCATCGAAAACTCATACGCGCGAGTACGTAGGTGTCTAGTCGAAGAAGAAGCGATATTCTATTTTCGTCGTCGTAGTCGTCGTCGTCGTCGTCGTCGTCTCTATCTTTTCCCCTTCGGAGCGGCGGCGTGCTGCGCCGCTACGCGGCGCGAGACGATCCAAAAATCGGGCGGAGAGACGCGGGCGCGAGAGTGCACAATTTTAAAAAGTATAAATGAAGAAACCGTGGCGCGAGGGAGAGAGAGAGAGAGAGAGAGAGCGAGTGAGCGAGAAGATCAAGCGTAAATTCTGGCACGCCGCTCCGTGAGCTGACGAATTTTGCTGGCGCGAAGGCGTCAAGTGAGACCGCGAGTGCTTCGAGGCGAAGTGGACGCGTTTTAATAGTCTCGTAAAAATAAAGAAAGAGAACACCCTCTCGCCGATGGAAAAGAGAGCGGCTTAATTGTCGAGCTACGTGTGTAGAGAAGTCGTGTTAATGCATCTCGACACCATAATGATACAAGTGATATTGAACATCAACACTATCTGTGTATGGTTTTGCATGATGAAACTGGCGTATAAAATCCCTTTAACTAAAATTCCACAGTTAGGGTTTAAGAAATCTTTGAATATAGGAGAGTTTCAGGAAGGGACCGAATTTTTAAATACAACGTTTTTATACACGAAGCAGATTCGACGAGGGTTTATGTTAAAGAAAATACTTGAGAAATTAGAATTTCTTCAAGCATCAACCATCTTCTCTATTCCTGACCCAAAATCCGCTTTCCCTTTCCCCTCTTCTGAGAGCAGAGAATCTTAGGGCTCTGGTATATAGAGAAGTGTGAGCAGTAAAACTAAAGCTTGATCTACAGTGTATTCATCGCTTCCTGTTTCTTGCTCTTTGTCTTTTTCCGGCTTGAGGCTAAAGCTTGATCTATAATGTGTTATTTGCTTTCTGCTTCTTTCTCTTTATCTCTTTCTGACTCAAACCTTAAGCTTTAAGCCAGAAAAAGATAGAAGACAAGAAACAGAATGCAAAGAGCATATTGTAGATCAAGCTTTAAGGTTTGAGTCAAAAACAGATGAAGAGAAAGAAACAGAAAACAAGGAACATATTGTGGATCAGATTTCTAAACAGCAAGAAAATTGATTTATCACAATCGACTGTTCCTGGGCCGCGAGGAGAATAATCGACTGTGGCTGGTCAGTTTGCTTACTGCTTACGTTTCTCCGCACAATCTTGGCCTTGAGTACTGCCTGTCGTCGGCGGTATTGGTCGCGCGGTCGAAGGGCTGAACTTGCTTCCGGTGACCTTGAGACCTACCTCGGGGCTGCTGACACAGAGTCTTCCGGACCTAAGCCACTCCACCTTGTATCCTTCGTAACCACCTCTCGCACCTCACCAGGTCTACGCGCGAAGCCTGTATCTCATGCGGCTCGTGGACGAGCGTGCCCGAATACCCATCGCGAAATACGGATTCACTCGCGGGCAACGGAACGACGGGGACCGAGCAACAATCGGCCGACCGGACTAGCGAGCAACGATTCGAGGGACGATTCCGCGATCGACTGTGTACTAAGTACCTGCAGCTTAAGCGTCTGATGCTTCGTCCACTGCGCGAGCTGCCGCGGCACGGAGACGGTCTGCGTCGCTGTCGGGACGCCGGACGAGTAGCTGAGCGACGTCGAAGATGAGGACGGCGTCGTCGTCGGCGGCGAATACGACGACGTTGCCGCCGCCGCTGTTTGTGGATAATGCTGGTGGTGGTAGTGGTGGTGGTGCTGCTGCTGCTGCTGTTGGTGGTAGTGGTGGTGGTGGTGATACTGCTGCTGCTGCTGTTGCTGCTGCTGATGCTGGCTGGTGCTGCCAATGTTCCCCACCGACGTTTGCACCGCGCCGCGACTATTATTAGCGAACGTCGTCTCCGCGAGACTCGAAGAAGCAGGAAGAGGCGGCGAGCAGCCGCGGCCAGCAGCTCCGACGCTGACGGTATCTACTACGGAGGTGTAACCACCGGCGGTGATCGGAGGACACGTCGTCGACGACGACGACGTAGACGAAGTGGACGACGACGTGGTGGACGACAACGACGACGACGAGGGCGGCGGCGGTGGCGGCGGCGGGGGCGGTGCAGACGCCGCCGTCGTCGCCATCGAGGACGCGGTCGAAGAGGACGAGACCGCCGGTGGGATCCGCGGAAGCGGAAGTCGCGACCGTGGACCGATGCAGCAGCAGTCGGCGATGCTGGCCGCCAGGTCGATCGGCGACTTCTCCGCCGCAGGTTTCTCGGTCAGCCGCTCCCGGGAGTCGCTCTCGCGCGAGTTCCGCTTCCGCCGACGCTCCTGCGACTCCTCCCTGGGGTTGGCCGGCGGCAGGCTCTCCTGGAACAAACGAGTCAGCACGACCGATACTTTCACGATTCTCTCCGTAATGTGCCGTCGCATCGTCGTGCGATTTTGCGCCCCGAATTCGCCCGAGAGGTTCCGCGAGAAATCGCTGACAACATTTGTCTATTCGTTTTCAAACATGACGCCCCTGATAGAGATTCCATGCAATTCTCGAGCAGTTGTTCATTGCTGGACAATTATGTTGACTTCTGTCTAGTAAGTGAAGAGAAGAACTACTGGAATTCCAATCAAGGTGTAACGCACGGAAGAAACGTTTGGTTGGATTAAGCAAGTTTCTAGTTAAATATGAGCGATCAAAATTACGGTTGAAGTTACCAAAATTCTGTTTACGTTAGTCAGAAATATTAATAATTTAAACTGAATTCTGATAACTTCAACCAGAATTTCTGGACTTATATTTCAGAAATTTGATCAGTCCAATCAAACTATTGTTTCGTGCATTTTTCGTACAATTATTGCGTACGAAAGATACTCAAATCTGAACCCATTCACTGAACTAAAGCAGAACAGTAAATGGACAAAAAATTATTCAATTAATAAATAATCAAATCTGCTGCTCATAAAATGATCGGATTAGTATTTTATAGTAGTATTTCATTTTTTATGCATGCTTTCTAGTTAAAAAATTTTAATACTAATAGGAATCATAGTGCAGGAAATTTGTTATGCATAATGTACAAGGATGTTTTAAAAAATGTTAACACTTATGTTAACTTATGTTAACAATGCTAACTAGTAAGCTGCTTTAACCATCGAGTTCTTGTTCAGTTCCTATGCAGTACTTTTACAACTAATGTATTAATACTAGATAATAACTGTGTTTACGCAAACTGCATACATTTCCATCACAGTGATTAAAGAAAGACAATCCTTTTTTCTTGTCTGTAGAAATATCGCCTACCTTATTCATTAAAAGTACTCAAACGTGCGCGAGAGTTCGTGCAAAAATTTAACTTGAAACTAGAAAAAATATTACATCAGAGGACACGAGTTAAATGCTCGCGCTGAGGAGAAGCAAGCAGTCGCTATTTCTTCGCATAGAATTATGCTGCTTCTCGGGGAACTTTTTCGGGACGTCTCGTATATCTTCGTTACTTGTTTACTACTTCTTTGCATTTCACAGGTACGCCCTCATATTCGCTTTATTTCTCCGTCTCCGTCTCCGGTGATGCGTCTTTTTCGTTTCCTTCCATTTCTCCGGCGTGTCTCGGTACCTTAACTTAGGAGCACCCTTATGTCCTCCGTGCTGTTTCGAACGCATCTCGTATTTTTAAACTTGCAACAAAATGACGTACGACGAGAATACTCCTGCTTACGAGGGCGCATCGCGTTTCGTAAATCTTCCTTGTCGCGTCGCGCCTAAATCCCGGCCAGTCTTTTTTATATCGTGACGCTCAAGGCAATATTTTCGGGAGGACGGAATCAATAATGGCGTCATCGATCCACGTGGGAACAAATGGCGACGATTTATACGAATTTCAGCAGCACTTGACGATGAGGGGGAGAGAGAGAGAGAGGTGCGCGAGAACGCGTGTCACACACGAGATTCACGTTGGTCGTACGTGTCGGTGTGACGTCAACGGCGCTTATTATTTCGTGGACAAACCGCGAAAAGAGAGGCGGAAAGTCGGAAAGAGTGACGGAGACGAGAAGCAGGAGTCGGCTCAAAATCGGCTCGAGTCAGTGACTGGCGGATTCTATTTGCGTGATCGGTTCTAAGTTTAGGTCCTTCGACATCTTGATTTTGTTGTCGCGAATCGCCACTGTCGCGGCGCGATCGAAGGTCGTCGCCAAAGTGGCCGAGGTTCAAAGAAAAATGAACGGCTCAGGAGGAATTTAATTGCGGCACTCCGGCCGGGCGCGACGTTGAATATTATACCGAACCGCGTAATACTCTACTCTCTTCTTGAGACAGAAGTTAAGTGTTTTATTTAATCCCCCGGACATAAATCTAAAAATAGAGACCTGCTACGGCTGTGAACGATTAAAATAGAACGGAGATAGATGTACAGGTCTCGTTTTTTAATTTGAAAGGATATGTAAGCCGCTTGTCTCTCTCTCTCTCTCTCGAGCAATTTCCGGACAACACGAAAATTCTTGCTGTTATTATCCTTCGTATCGTTCGCAGATATAGAAAAAAAGATATGGCGCACATAAGTTACCTTGTTGTTATCTAGTTAGCATCATTTTATTATCATATTGTGCGATAGTAATGTGTATAATGTGTATAGTTGACAGCTCTGTCACACTTTAATACATCAACTATATCAATGTAGTTTGCGCGTGATATAGTTGTGGCAATCAGAAATCAGTTTGGGTAACATGAATAGAGGAAAAGATTCAATGGGCTACCACTTTTTTTGTTTACATCTGCAAATATTTAAATAGTAATATTGTTTATTTCTACAAATATTTAAATTTTTTTGTGCGAATATATATAATATCAAGCAAATCTATTTCAATATCTACAAAAGGGATGTGTTTAAAATAATCGGATTTTTAGTTATTCAGACTTTTCTAAAAGGAAAGAATTTGTTTGAAAAAGAGGTCCAAATATAGGCTATCTTTGTAAATTTAAAGTAACATGGAATTTAAAGTAAAAAAAAGAAACGCGTTTTATTTTATTTCTCATAATATTCATCGACAAAAATTGCACACTTAATAATCTTATCATCTTGTGTTCTCCGCACAATCATTGTCTGCCTACAAAAAGCACATTAAAGCATTATATTGACAATTTTCCCTTTGTAACATCAGAGAATTGTTTGTCACAAAACAGACAACTTGCATTATTATTTCCGCCAAATTTTCTTTTTCCAACTAGCACAAATCTAAACTACTGTCATTGTTATTTATTAGCTCATGTTAAAATCATTTGTAGTGACATTTCTAGCATATTTACAACATTACATTATGGATAACAAGTGATTATATTAACGAACACAATGTATTTCCGATTAAACTAATTATACCTTTCAATACATCTATCTTTACACTATTTATAATAACCAATCAATGATATGTATATTTCTCAATAAAAAATATACATATCTGCACAACTTTCCAGATGTCGGAAAACAGGAAATTGTGTAACTTCTAAATCGGCTTGAAAACAGCCGTGCAATCGAGCTTTGTAACAAGACTCTACGTCTTGAAAAAAATTACTCAAATGCGGTAGAGTATAGCACCATATAGAGTCAAAACAACAGTAGCCCGTATTTGGATCATGACCTATATTTGGACTTTCTCTTCTACAATCTGGTTGGAGCAATCAGATGTCGTCACTGCTGTTACGCCAATAACTGAACAATTGCTCTGTGCTTGCAGCAAACACATAATTAATTATTCTAAATTTTACAATTGAATCTGGTTGGCACAATCAAATTTATGTGTGGGCTAATCGCGCTGTTTTTTTCGTGTATTACTCTATTGTTTAGCAGAAAAAGTTTCACAAAGTCTCTTTCTTTCTCTTTCTCTCTCTCTCTCTCTCTCTCTCTCTCTCTCTCTCTCTCTGTTTCTTTCTCCTCATGTTTGTCTTCTTCTTAGTACTAACAAGTGAACTGTACGGTACCTGAGAGATCCGAAGACCGTATCTGGTGCCGCCCAGAACGACGTATCCACCACCGACACCTCCGCCCGTCATGGCCCTCGCGGCGCCCCCCAGCCATCCTCCGAAACCACCAGCGCCTCCCGTCCTCTGGGGCCCGCTACCCCCGTCTCCTCCGCCGACGCGGGGCATTCTTCATCCTTCCCTCACCCTGAAATTTAAATCGCGGCGCGAATTAAAAGACGCGTACGAACGAGACGCGCATAAATAAGCCGGAGGTGGGGGACAAATCTTGCGGGCCGCGCGAATTGTCCTTGGACGGCTTCGCGGAGGACTAACGAGCTAGATTCATCCCACGGGATATTAACGATCTCGCTTGAGTTACGAGCGAACGCTCAGAACCGCGCGACACATCACGCACTTACGCACGCGAAATGCGGGCCGTCGCGTGAATTACTGCGGACGTTCGCGCATTCCCCAATAACTGTCGGCCGCGATCTTATTTATTTACCGTGCGCCGGTGCGGTCGATGAATGAGACTCACCGGAATTTTCGCGTGCCGCTACCATTAAAAGTCGCGCGGCGAGTCGCGCGCTACCGGAAGCGGCGAGGCCACCGTCGCGGCGCGCCGCGCCAACGAGATCAATGGTTACGGAAATTCTTTCTCGGCTCTCTCTCTCTCTCTCTCTCTCTCTCTCTCTCTCTCTCTCTCTCTCTCTCGCTGGCCACGAGAACACGACGAGCACCGACGTCCGAGGGAGGTCTTCCGATCCTCGAGTTGTTGAAAAAAAAACCACGAAGCGAATTCGGCGGCGCGAGTTATTTCGATCGATGAATTAAATAAATTGATGTAACGCGGGAATTTATGGCGAGCAGTTATTTTCTTAACGCTAGAATGCTCGGTGGTGTCATCTTGACTCCTTAAACTTAATTTACAATGTATTCTTTGCTTCCTGCTTCTTTCTCTTTATCTCTTTCTGGTTTAAAGCTTGAGTTAAAAAAAGATAAAGAATAAGAAGCAAGAAGCTAGGAGAACATTGTAGATCAGGCTTTAAGCCAGAAAAAGATCAAAAACAAGAGCACATTTTACGTTAAACTCGCAAAGAAAATATTGACAACTTTCACGTGAAAATTCACTGTTTGCGTCTCAGATACTTTCTTATATTTCATTCATTTTTATTATTGCATTTGTTTCGTTCTCTATTCTTCCAGAATCGGTTTATGATGACGATATCGTCACGCGCCGATTGAAAATTTTCCCGCTTGGACAAATGGAAAATCTTAATCCTCGAACCGGATTGATCGATCGATCGTTATTACTGTGCAATTGTCGCGTCGCTTTCCGAATCAGTGAGTTTCCGTGGATCGTGCTGGCTGCAGCTGTCCTCATCCCGCGCGTGTATAAATAAGCAAGGTAATTAAAACAGAATTGTAATTACACTGAATAAATCTCGAGCCGCCACCTACATACGTCCTCCTACAGCGGCGATATGAAATTATTGTTCGATCGAATGAGTCCGCGACGATAGTGGGCACATGACTTTTTACGGTGGACCGCCTTATTATGCCGATACTATCGCTCGGTTGATCTTCCTAATAACAAGGTATTTTTGTAACACGTAATATCGAGAGCGGACATTCTCCACTGTGGCAGCGTTTCGCTGCAAAGCGAAGGGATAAGCAATTACTGTAGATTTTAATATATTTATTATTAGAATATTTTATTTTTATATACACACATCTCTCTCTCTCTTTCTTTTGGAACATTAATAAATCTTGTCGAAACATTATTAAATTCAAAATCGCGAAAAATCAGAGAGAGAGATACGCAATTTCGATGCACCCAATAATATTCTAAAATTTACACGTCTATATACTCTGATAGAAATGTATGCAATGTGTGTAAACACCGCCCAGCTAGTGTCTAATATTAATGCATTTTTATTAGATGTAAATATATTGCGTAAGAACTGAACAAGAATTTTATTCAGTAGTTAATAAGTTTTATTCAGCAGCCGAAACAATTTACTGCGTGCAGTTAACAATGTGTAGATTAATTCCTTCCAAGATATAGAATCAGTATATCAGTATACATAATATTGACTCAGTTTCATAATGTGCACGTATTATAATGTGTCGTGAATAAATTTGAAAGATTTTATATTGTTAAAAAAAGAACAATTAAAATTGTATGAACAATGAACAATTGAGTGAACGTGCAGAAAAGTATAGAGTAAGAGAAAGGAAATTGGAGGAAAAATATTTGACAATATTAAGTTTTGTGGCAGAAATAACAACCAAAGCTAGAAATAAAAGTGACTACAATAATATGATAAATAGGGTATATGTTAATACAGAATCTCATTATAATCCAGTCAGAACTATAACGTTGATTCAAGGTTGATTCGACGTCGAAATGATCGATGAGCCGTTGAATCAATGTTGATTCAACCCTCATCAGCGTCGAATCAACCTTGAATCAACATGTGGTTCTGACTGGGAAGAAGAACATATACCGAACTATTTTGATGGCACTGGTTCAAACTGTCATGATAGCCTAGACTCAGAACTTGAAATAATACAGCTACAAGAATAGATAAAAGGACATGTATCATTAGATAGTTATAAAAAATGTCATATAAAAGGAGAAAATATATATTGCGCAACAAAGATTTTCTGCGTTCATTAGTATTACAATTTTTCAATTAGAAAGTACGTACAGAAAATGAAATAGCTGAGATGCCAAGTCTACAAATCACACACGGGTCAGTTGTCAAGCTTACATCTCACGTAATAAACTGAGAAGCATATATTTCTCTACAATATAGGTTATTTGTATCATCTTAGTTAGATGTACGAAATGGCTTATGACAGGAACGTTGCATGTGGTATTTACAGGTACTTTCTCAAAGTTGAACGCGCGGTGAATAAATATTTTCATGCCTTTATTTTTATTGGTCTGTTGAATTTATGATGATAGTTTCTCTTTAGTTGTAAAAAATACTACGGAGTTCAGCTATTTTCTCCTGTACTTAATTAACAGTTACTGTAACATAATTTATAAATATAATTTCTTTTATTCCAAATGATTCTCCGGGTTAAGTTGAGCTAAATGATTAGTCGCCGTTTTGTGAATCCGTCACGTAGTTGTGACATGATTTACGCAAGAGAATGGAAGTAATGATGTATTATATTAGGACCTTAACTTAGTTTCCGCCCGCAAATGTTAGATGGCAATGCAAACAGTTCTAGTAGTCATTACTAACGAAACAGGTAGTTTGTGATTAATTTCGACATTTCTCGATAACATTCAGTCAGCATACACAATTATTTTCCTAAACAACAATTTCTTTTGCTTTGTGAAAAATGGAACGCGATAAAGTGTTTTTTCGACATGTGCTTTTGCACTATTTTGATTTGAAAAAAAGTGTAGCAGAAGTTCATCGATTA